CCATCGAATCCCAGAATGGTTTGGGTTGGGAGGGACCTAAAGATCATCTTGTTCCACTCCTCTGCCACAGGCAGGGACACCTTCCACTAGCCCAGGTTGCTCCAACCTGGCCTTGGACACTCCCAGGGATCCAGGGGCAGCCACAGTTTCTCTGGGAATGCTGTTCTGAGTGTTGGCTTTATCTCTCCACAGGTCTGTCTTTCCCCCCGGTGAAAGGTTGGGAAGAACCCCCACATTTCACACGAGCACACTGGAACCTGTTCTAAGGGATTTGATCAGTTCCCCACATCAAACAAGCCCTGAGAGCAGAACTAACTCGGGAGTTTTCAGTGTGAGCCAACACTTTATCATCTGTTTCAAGTGACTGCTCTCAGACCAAGTTAAAACTTAAAAAAACCAAGTTAAAGCTTAAATCAAAGCACGTCGAGTGAAAACACACAGAATTTGGAGTTCAAGTTCACATTCGGGATCTGCATCCTGCACTTTCCACAAAGAACCATTTCAAGTGGTTCTCACTTCAGAATTTTATGTAATCAACCAACTTTCTTACTACTTAAAAAGAGGCACTAATTGGTATTCAGAAATAATCAGCTATAATGGAGAATGAGCAGACCAAGCCATCTGAAAAGATATGCAGTTCTAACAAAGCTGGAAGACTTTTCCCAAAAGCAAATAGCTTTTTTTTTTTTCCAAGTTCTCATATCTCCAAAGTGTCCTGCTCAATTAATTTCAAACTTTGATAAAATCCTCCTCTGGCTACGGAGCCGGGGAGGGGAGAAAGGGGAGTTCAATTGGAAAGGAGCTTTTATTTCTTTATTTTATTTTATTTTTAAACAGGAGATTGCTCCATAGCATAATTAACCTAAATGTCACATCCAGGTAAAGCGACGGAGAGAGAAAAATAATTAAAATCACGTTACTTCAAGTATTTTACAGTTAAGGGCGTAAATGTTGAGCTATTTTTAAAATCTCCACTTCCTGCACGAAGGAACTGCACAAGATACTGGTTGAGAACCACTTTTCTTTGGCAAAGTCAGGACACAGCTGGTTTAAAATGGGATAAATCGAAGGGTTTTCTTTGTTTCTCCAGGAAATATAAATCAAGTTGGGTGTATATAAACATAAAATATTTATATATATATATATTTTTATATATATAATATAAATATAAATCCAAGAGGGCTGTTTTCACCTGGCCTTTCGCAGATGCTGCCGTTGAGCTCGTCGATACACGTCGCCACCTTCAAGCCCTGCTGGGATGGCTCAGCTAAATAGACACAAAAGCCAGCATCACTGGGTTCCTGGGGAAGCCACTGGACCAAGGTGTCAGTGAAAGGGGACATGTCTTCCCAGCACCAGTAGGACACGTTGATTTTCCTCAGGCCGACCCACGGAGTCAAAGTTTTGGGCTGGGAAAAGAGAGGAGCAGGTGAAATTAGCACATAGACACTAATAAAATTAGTAAATATAACTCCTTATGAATTCTTAATATAGAGATCCCATAGCACAGCTATTTCTGCTGGTATTTTAATTTTTGGCACACTTTTGTTTTGGGGAGGAGCACTTCAGCTCTGTTGGTATAATATGTTATTTTACTGCTGAATGATACAAACGTGACTGACTTTAAAATGCTTTTATGCACTTTTAAACCTTAGAGCTGCAGGTAGTGGCAGCAAGAGGGTTACACAGCACGTTGTGCCAACACCAGTAGGTTTTCTTGTTATAATTAAACACCTCAAAAAGGGAATAACTTAAAATAGGAGTAACTACAAAGCAGAGCCTCCTCCAGCACAGCCACCGATGCTCTACTTTGTTCTGGTGTCATTGACACCTTTTTTTATTCTTCAGTGATTCAGGCCCTCTCTTCCTTGTTACATCTCATGAGGTTCCCATGGGCTCTCCTCCCCACCCTGTCCAAGTCCCTCTGGATGGCATCCCAGACCTCAGGAGTGTCATCAGCTTGGAAGGGACATTAAAGATCATCTCATTCCAGTCCCTGCCAGGGGCAGGGACACCTTCCACTAGCCCAGGTTGCTCCAAGCCACATCCAACCTGGCCTTGGACACTTCCAGGGATCCAGGGGCAGCCACAGCTTCTCTGACCAACCTGGGACAGGGCCTCAACCCCCTCCCAGACAACAACTCCTTCCCAATATCCCATCTAACCCTGCCC